AGCAAGTGATCGAGCGCGTGATACACACTCTTGTCGACTGATCATGAACCAGCAACTCTGAAAAGAGCTGGTGGGGTAACCGCAGTTCTTCAGAATGATCAGTCAGTGTACCACCTTCTATATAGCAAGCCATAGCAGGTGTCCTCCTTGAGAATAACCGCAGTTTTTGACCAACCCTGCACATGTCCTGGCATATAGGGTAAAAGTAATCTTCCTTGAAATTTGAAAGAACAAAACAAAATACAATTAGCAAAGGGTTTGCAAATTATGATTCTGTTTAGAAGAATATTAAATACTTACGAGAAATCAAAGAGAACTTGGCATGAAATATTAGGACGCGCTCACAATATAATTCTTGACAACCAAGCGTGAGCCACAACTTCAAGAGCTGAGGGATAACCGCAGTTCCTCTGAACGCTCAGTAATTATAATGTCTTCTGTAAGAGAATCTGGTCACAAACTGCCCTTCTGATGAAGAATAACCGCGGTTTTTGCCAATCTGAGCCAAACAACATCTCACAGGACTAAAGATGCTAGCCGAAACCCTTTAATAAGATACTCGTCAGAATTTAAGTATTTACTTTGTCGAAACTTAACGTTAAGTGCTTATTTTGGCATAATTTGTACCTGGTGATTGCGTCACATGATTTAATAATAGAACGCGTAGCTAACGATCTGATCTAAGATCATCTAGTATTAGAAAATGGCATCCCTACGCGTAGCTATAAAATTTTTTTTTTATTTGTTATGCAACCTTCGTTCCACGTCAAATATTTCTTTGTAAAAAATAACATTTGACTCGATAATGACCCCACAAGAGCGTGATTTTTTTATTAATAACGACAATCCAACACCAGTAGAGTTTTTTAAAAGGTTCAATTACACGTCAAAGCAAACAGCTGTTTCGAAATGGCACTCAGTTCTTAGCGCGCTCCTCAAAGTTTATCCAGACGAACCCAAATTTGTTGATATCTACCAAAATTACATAAAGAATAAATATAAGCAAGCTATCGAAGATTATTTTAAATCATCGTCTGCTTCTATTCTTGACGAGGAAAAGGTTGGCCAAAAATAGGTTCAGTTGTATTATATCCAGCCCTAAAATTCTTTCGCACTTTACCAG